TCAGTAGCTGCTTTAGTATCCTCCCTGCTTAAATCCTGCCTATCATCTTGCATTTCTGACTTGAAATGCCTCCCCACCACCTGGCCTGGTCAGACTCCCTATCTTTAAGGCCCAATTCAAAGGCTGCCTCCTCCAGGAAGCCTTCTCTGAGTCATCCCCCAGGCCCTCTGTGTGCCTCTCTCTCCGAGCCTTGAGTACATTACATCATGCCTACCCCATAAGGCAGGCAGCTCCTTTAGGGCAGGGTCCACGAGGACCCCATCTCTGCCACCTGCATGCTATGTGTGATCTGGCACACAGTAGGTCCTCAGTGAATGGCCTATGTGATGCTGTTGATAGCTATGTTGTGAAAACAGCAAGAGGCTGACCAGGCCATAGCAGTTCTGACAGTTCCCACTTCTGACTCTGGCACAGACGGGCTCTGTGGCCTTAGTACATGGCTGTCAGCCTCTCTGATCTCAGCTTCTGCACTTGTAAATGGGGATTCTTGAACCACTTCCTGGGGTGGTTGGGAGGGAAATCAAATAATATGAGCAGAGCACCTGGCACTGGGTCTGGCACAATATGGCTCCCTACATTATGGTTCCTAAAGAAAAACGGTTTAAAAAAAAAAACCTGTTTCTGCCGGGCATGGTGGCTCATGTCTAATCCCAGCATTTTGGAAGACCAAGGTGGGAGGATTGCTTGAGCCTAGCAGTTTGAGACTGTGGTGAGCTGTGATCATGCCACCGCACTACAGCTTGGACCACAGAGTACAACCCCGACTCAAAACACACACACACACACACACACACACACACACACACACACACACACACACACAAACCTGTTTCTCCTAACCATGGGAATGTGTTTGATCCAACTAACTGCCTGGGTTCACCAATAAGATACAATCAAGCCACCGATTCCCTCACTGAGGGCACCCCTGGAACAACTGCCCACCGTCATGTAAGAAGTGATAGATGTAGGAAGTGATAGGAATCCCCCATTGGGGTAGGTGGGCTCGCCTGGAGTATATCCCCTGGCAACCATAAAAGCAATCGAGATGAACTGTGATAAACTTATACTGGCTAATGTGCTGAGTGTTACCATGTACCAGGCGCTATCTAAAGTGCTTTACATGTATTAGCTCATGTAATCTTCACACCCACCCTGTGAATCAGGTCCTACTGCTGTTGCCATTTTTTTTTTTTGAGTTGGAATCTCACTCTGTCGCCCAGACTGGAGTGCAGTGGCC